ATATACGATCACGGAGAAGAACACACAATACAAGTGTCTGGAAACAAAGTGGCGAAGAAAATAGCTTCTTAAGTTGATGAAGTAAGTGGGTAGTTTGCGATGTTATAAAACGAGAACTTTGTTTGATGACAGTAATATTACATATCCTTCCGTCTACATGACTTCGTTCAATGTGGTGCATCAAGGTGACTCGTTTCAACTTTTTAGAGCTATCTTCAGGTCTTTTTTTTATATTCTAATTACTGTACAGTACAGTCTAATAAAGCAGAATATCCGCTAAGACGTGATCACATGTAAGACTACATAATAATATTCTACTCATCATAGAAGCGAGGACGTACGAGACGCAGGTAAACAACTGCATCGGTCCAAATTACATATTGATATATTGGAAAAGGTGAAATAAGTCAACGTATAGCGACATTAAAAATATTGTTAAAGGAATAAAGAAAACCTGAGATGAAACTTTCGTTATAAAAATTTAGTTAAAAACTATGTTTCAAAATTTATCAAATGTAATATTTTATTTTCTATTTATAATTTATTAATATTCATTTAGTCTTTATATTATTTACTTTACAGGATGATACAAAGAACAACAACAAAACGTTTACCCACACAAAATCATGTTAAGCACGACGTACATATACAAAACAACTTCGAATACGATATTAAAAAATACAATAAAATCTGGAAGGAAACATCATTTGAAATCTGATAAACATCTGACTAAAAGTTGCATTTAAGAAATTATATTTAAGTTTATATAATTTTATACACCTGAAGATGGTTCTTTTAGAACTGAAACATGTCGTGTAAAAAAGTGATGATCTAATGTAAATCGAACATTTCGATAGAAAACATCATTTTAAATATTTAAATGTTAATTTTAGTAATATTTTAATATTTAATAGAATTTTATTGTGATCAGACTGACAAGATTTAAACAAATAAACAAATAAAAACTAAAATAACATTTTTACAGTGGTGTAACCAGAGAAAATTAGAAAACATAATGTTCTAATAAACGGAAGAAGCATACTACAAATTTTGTAAGCGGAGCTATAAGACTTTTAAAATTTGTTTTTTAAAATGCAAGGAAATATTTTCACAAAATTAAGCGAAAGAAACATATTTATTCACTAATGCATTGTAAATATGTAGTGTAGTGTATAAATGAGTCCTGAAGATGACCGTCAGAAGTTGAAACACATCGCCTTGATATTGCATGGTGATTAAAATAATATACACGGTAGAGTGTAAAAATTTGTTTTTCAAATTGGATGTAGTAAAGTTTTCTCTTTAATCATCATGACCTAACAGGCCAAGTATTGGACGTCAGCGATTAAAAACTTGTAAATATCGACTTCGTACATTTTGGAATCTTTATCTTCGTTTGCAAAGTTGGTTGTGTGCTGTACGCCTGTCCACACTTGTTATTTCTGAGACTTACTCGAATATTTATCTTTCGAAAAGTAATGTAAGATTTTTGTTTCGCGACGGTTGTGTAGATACCAACATTACAAATCGTACAAGGCATCAAAGCTCACATAATGTCTGATTGAGTGGCGCCCGTGTACAATATTAGCTAGACTAATGCATTTGTAATGTGTCATGTGCTGGTTTCCCGCGCCAGGGATGTCCATATATCACTCACATTTCCGTTGTTAGTCCTTGGCAAGAAAGTCTCAGTTCTGGTTATAACAATATTTTTATGGTAGTGTGGTCCTTCGTATAATTGCATTAGATGCGTATAACAAGTTACGGAGTGTTGGAATAACCATAAAAATCATAATTTCGCTCTAGATTTGTAAATAAAGGCGTGTACGATTTAATGTAATTCACATTTTGTGCAATTTTAATTAAAATTGGAATGTGTCGATAACATTTAGCTTGTAGGATTTGAGGTTTTCACGGCGGTGAGTACGAAGATGGCTGTCTTCTGGGTTGTTGCACCCTTTAGTCTTGTAGAAATTTACCGACGTTTCGGAGGTTCTTGCTGTAACGCTGCAACCTACAAGACAGCCAACAATAATTAACGCGACTCCTTAATATTAAATTTGTGAAAACAAATCAGCGGTTCTTGAGTTCTTAATGAGGTCAGACGGACCAACAGACAGACTGACCTACCGAAGCTGAGAGAAGTATTTTAACAATTATTCATTGCGAACGTTTCAAAATTAAATGTAGAATTAATACTCGACACTGAGCACTCGTAAAATGAGTAGATTTCAAAGAAATGTTCCAAGCCTATATGACGTCAGATTACAGGAAACATACCTATAAACCTACAAACGTTTTTAAAAATAATAACCTATGTAAGAGTTAAATAAGGATAAGCTCAGGCCTGTACTCTGACACCTATTTTATGAACAAATATAAATTTAAACATTTGTACTACGTTAATGACTAGAGATTAAAAATCGAATTTCCCACGTATATATAGGCCTAAGTGTGGGAGGTCGCTTTACTGGTTGAGTTAATACGGCTTGAGGATAATAAAGTAATCCCCTGTTTATGCGCAAAACATGAAGGATTATAAGCTGAATCCCGTATCCTACCCATTTAAATCCTTATTTAAGGCCGATTTTAATATTATACTTCTCGGTTTTTGTACATTACACACGTTTGTCTTTTACTGTGGTGTGTGTACTATATGCGCCGTTAATATGATCCTTGTTTGGGCTGTCATCATGGATATAAAATGTGGCTGAACAATCCACTAACAATTTAGCGATCTCGCAATGTCCTGGAAGAACGCAGTCTACGTAACTTATGAGATAAGTAGAAAACTAATCTGATACTCACTCTGGTAGTAAAACCGAAATATTTACCACCGATACTGAACTATGCGTATTACAGCTCCATAACTCACAACATTTGCCAAGAACGTATATGAACAGGTCCCAGTCCGAGAAAAAGATGGAAGGATCCTGTTCATATGGACCTGTCGTCATACAGAACACTAAATAATAATAAAACAGTTAAGGGTTGTTAGCATTGTACTGTTCTCCCAAAGTGAGAGACCAAGCTTTGTCGTCTATCTGCATGTGCCTATTTTAACTGTAAATAATTCGGACCTTTTCCTCTAACCACATGTCGCAGGACGGGCAATGCTCTTTTAACAAGCGGAAATCATAGACCAAATATGAAATAGGCAACACAGCTTCTTTTCTCATTCATTTCCAGTTAACCATACATAATCATAATGTCACTCGATTATAAATCAGCACATGCCGAGATGATTATAAAACCACTGCTGTCTGGGATTTGAGGTACTCACAGTGGCGGAGACGTTGATCTTGGACTTTAGGGTTGTGACACCATCTTCGCTCTGAAAATGGAGGCGATAAATTCCTCCGAAAGTTTGGGAAATACTTACAAGTCTACACTGCGTTGCTATCCAGAAGCAGCTGGTGGAGATCTGACAAACAAACAAGGTTAATGTAACCACTGAAACATTCGTGTGGCCACACGTCACAGTTCTCACCCCTGACAACACCTGCCCTGCCCCTGAGGGCCGTGGCGAGCCGCTAACCGCGCTCTGTCAACTGTTGCAACGAGATTTCCAGCGGTAGCCATCACGGAGTGGAACAATGATGGATGTGATAGCGTGACCGACCTGGCGATCGACCGACGCCTGTCGGAGCACTCTTTGTACTATATGGCATGTGTTATAGCGTGTCGCATGCACGGTCGGCCATTGTCGCCTTTAGTCGCTAATCATCATTGGTTGAAATTATGAATGTCGTTGCCTAGCAACGTTATAGTTGACATATTAGAGGGAGTGGGAGAAACACTGCCTCCCTCTTGTTCTGCAGAATGAACAGCGTAATATTATGACCCCTCCAACCCCTCTCACTAACCCCCCCCCTCCCTATACAACTTATTCTTTGAGAACAATGAATGAGTAGGGGGCGGGTCGCTTTAAAACTGCAATTCTTGGAACTGTAATTTCTCCCCGCCTTCAGCTATCTTCTTAATAATTAACAGTTACGTCTACTTGTTATAATTTGTCAGCATTCTATGTAATTTGACTGTAATTAGATGTAATTCCTCGTCTCGACATTGCAGGCCCGTCTAATCTTTACAGTGGTGTAATTAGATTTATGAAATAGAAATAAACACTAAAGAATGTTCATCAAAACATGCAATAGCAAACTCAGTAAATTATACGTTTTGAATTTTGATATTCAGAGACGTTGAAGTTAAAATACCAAATCGTTTTGTTGCTTTAAAAAATTCAAATGACCCCGTGTCCACCACGTCAGGAAAATGCTGGGAAATATAAAGTTTTCGAATAAACATTATTTGTTGAATGGAGTAATTTTTGGGATGCCACGGAGAAACCGGGGAAGCCTCCGTGTTGCCTAGACCACGGCCTTGCCCAACGCAAGTTATAAATTCGGGCACCGCCGGGAATCGAACCCGAGACCTCAGGATTACAAGGCCAGCGTTCTAACTGCTAGACCACCTCATCTTATTATTATTTAGTGTTCTGTCTGAGGACAGGTCCATATGAACAGGATCCTTCTATCCTTTTCTCGGACTGGGACCTGTTCATATACGTTCTTGGCAGATGATCCAGAAGTGGTTTGCCATTGCCTTCTTCTGTGTGTGTGAATGGAGTAATTGTTGGGATGCCACGGAGAAACCGGGGAAGCCCCCGGAGGAAAGCTCCGTGATGCCTAGACCACGGCCTTGCCCAACACAAGTTATAAATTCGGGCATTAATTAAATTAATTAAATTTAAATATTAAAATAATTAGCTTGAAAGTAATAGGAAATATGATCTCCCTGGTGATGGAGGTAGCAAGGACCTCTGAAACGTCGATAAACTTCTACCAGACTACACGGCACATCTTAAATTACTGAGGTGTTTGACTGCATACACAGACCAACAACT